TCACTCAAGAGTGTTTGTGTAACAGTTTTATTAAAGTAAAAGAGGACAGCAAAAGCTTCTGACACAGACATCAGAAGGTGGCAGAGAGTGCCCCCCTCACTAGTCTTGGTAAGGGAGCTATATACTCCTTCAATTGGTTATTACAGTAAATCAAAAGAATATCTCAAGGTTGTAAAGATCTTACCAGACCCACTCCCACAATTTACATTTTAAGGTAATGGGATTAGAACTAACAATAAATAGAAAGATCTTACCAGACCCACTCTCTTAATATACATTTTAAGATGACAGGATTCCTCAAAATGTTCTCAAGGAGGAGAAACATGTCCTCAAGTAGGATACATTATTGTCATATAACCATTGGTACAGAGTTTAAGGAAAAACATCCTTGAGCAAGATCAGTTGTTTTGTTGTGCAATCATCAGCTCTGGGCTTAAAGAAAAAAATGTTTGTTCTTTTCTTCCTTGAGAACTCCAGACCCCTATTCCCTCCTTGAGAGCCCCAGACCTCTCTCTCCTCCTCGGGGACCCCAGACATACCAACCTACCTAGGAATTGACTCTCCCACTAACATACTGTACAATTCATCTTTATGTTTTATTAACTGTCTTCCCTGCCACCCCCTCACTCTAATGGAAATTCAGTGAGGATAAGAATCTGCATATTTTGCTCAACAATGATTCCCAGGCACCGACAAGAGTGTCTGGCACCCTGTAGGTACCCAATATATGTTAACCTGTGGTATATGTAGAAGCAAAATCCTGGGTAGTGGCTCATGAGGTGTTGGCCTACACATGGGTGCATATGGGACCCAGGCAGTGAGAGTCCGAGGCTAGATGTCTGTGAGATCAATCGGCAGCTTTGGGGAGCTTCTGTGTAACTACCTCAAATGACAGAAAGTGAAAGTCGCTCAGTCGTGTCTGACTCTTTGAGACCCCATGGACTGTAGTCCATGGAATTCTCCAGGCTAGAATACTGGAGTGGATAGCCTTTCCCTTCTCCAGGGGATCTTCCCAACCCAGGGATCGAACCCAGGTCTCCTGCATTGCAGGCAGATTCTTTACCAGCTGTGCCACAAGGGAAGCCCTCAAATGGCAGAAAGTGTTCTGCAAACCCTGAACCAAACTATGGCAGCATTGTAATTTCTGTTTTTATTACTCTTGTGTTCTCCCTATTTGCATTCTTGTGACTTTGAAACATTTCTGTCTGCTATCAGAAACCTTATTTAAGACTGCCTTATTTAAGTATAACTTGGTTTCGAAAAAATGGTAGAGGTGACATCCTAGATGGTAATAAGAGATGGAAGACTTAGGAAATCCTGTTTTGATTGGTTCTTGCTTGAGAAACCTACCTGAACTTAAGCACAAAGGGAAACTTAGTTGATGATGAAATGCAATCAAGTCTGTGAGCAGGCATGGCTGTGGGCATTGGAGAAAACTACAAGTAGGAACCAAAATGCCCGCAGGTCTTTCCTGTCTCCTCCAGTGTGGACTTCATTTTTTTGAAAACCAAACTGGCTGGGGGAGAGCCCATGCCCTGTGACGAAGCTAGAGGGGTGGGATGAGGGTGGGAGAGAGGTTCAAGAGGGAGGAGATATATGTGTACACATGGGTGATTCCTGCTCTTATAAGTCAGAACCCAACACAACGTTGTAAAGCAATTATCCTCAAATTAAAAATAAATTAATTACTTGCCAACTCAATACCCTGTCTCCTGTTACTAAACAGAACTCCAATTTTGCTTGGCAATAGGCCCAGCTAATACATTTCTTAGCCTCCTTGAATGCAGACACAACCATTGGGCAGAAGATCTGGCCAAAGAGATAAAAGCTTAAGTCTTTGGTGGGGCTTCTGAGGCTCTTTAAGTAGAGCTCGCTTGTTTAGCATGTGGTCTTTTCATCAATCTCCCTTCTTCCTGCATGAAAACAAACACAATAGCAGGAATTGCAGCAGCCATCTTACAAGGAGAAGCAAAGCCATACACTTAGGATAGCAGAGCCTAAAGAAGATATCCAAGTCATGGATGAAAGTGTGACCTGTCTTACCAGCCCTGACAGCTCATGGACACTGCTCTGTGCCCAGTTGACAGGGATGAGTTGAAAAAATGTGGTTTTTTCTCTCAAGAGGACAATAGAAGTACCTAGCATTTATTGTACACTTGGCATGTCAGAAACCTTTTTTTTGAGTTGCAGGCATTAGAATAGCCATGTGCAATAGGCATTATTCCATTTATGCAGATGAAGATACAAGTTTAACATGGCTAGCTACCATGGTCATCTAATCCAAGGCTTGAAGCTGGGTCTCCTGACTTCATGATCTGTGACTAACTACAGTGCTACACTTGTTCCCAGTCTTATCAACAATCATCAAATTTGAATTCAAATTCAGAGGCATGGAATTCTTGACAAAGATGGATATGGGAAATGCTGGGAGCAAAGGGAAGAATGTCAAAGTTTCCAGCAGAACGTGGGGTGCTTTCCCAGATTCTGTCAAGAATGAGCATACACGCACCAAGCAGAGGAACATGCAGTTGGTGACGAACGTGGACTTTAGATCTCAGGCATAGAGGAAGTGACAGATGTTAAACAGGTAGGTAGACTGCAAGTTACACAGAGAGATCAACGTGAAATTGAAAAATGGAAGTGGAGACTGTACTGACCACCCGTCCTGGAAGACTTGACAGGCCAGGGGATGAAGTCTGCAGGGCACTCATACTTGCGTACAATGCTTCCAGCAGTGCCCTGAAGCTGTCCCAGCCGATCAAATTAAACACCAAGTAAGATGGAGTATACTGGAAAGACCATGAACTTGAAGAATTCAAGACAAACCTAGCCTTGAAGTCTTGCTATTTGTATCTTTGGGTAAACTGCATGTCCTGAGCTTTAGTTTTTCAATATAAGTTCATCTAGAACAGCTAGACTACAAATGCAACTCTGAGCACAGTACTAACAGAATTTCACTTAAATAGATCTCCCATGGTGTTTATATTAATCAAATAATATCACCATACAATTTCTTCTGTTTAGTAGCAGATACTATTCTAAAAGAGTATAGTAACAGATACTACTATCAGGGCTTTCCTGGTGGCTCAGCTGGTAAAGAATCCACCTGCAATGTGGGAGACCTAGGTTCAATCCCTGGGTTGGGAAGATCCCCTCGAGAGGGGAAATTCTGCCAGTATTTTGCCCTGGAGAATTCCATGGACAACAGTTAATGGGGTCTCAGAGTCAGACACGATTGAGCAACTTTCACTTCACTATTCTCAAAAGGATACTATGTAGTCAAGCTACAAAGGAGATTGGAATGACAGTTGTTTCTCAAGGGTACATTTTCAACACTTCTTATGAGCTCTGTTCTATGGATACTTGGTTGGTCTTTGAAATTTATCACTAATAGTCATCTCTCCCTTACTAAATGTTAAGTGCAGCACGTAAGTTCACAGGCTTCTACCCAGCAAGAGATAAAAGGCTCAAGAAGATACCAAGCTGGATTTCTTTTCTGCTATACAAAATTATCTTTCACATCATGTTATAAAAGCATTTCAAATCACAGGGATGAAACTCTCCTCTGTACAATGCTGATTGCTATGAGGGGCTTCCCTCAGAGCTCAGTCAGTAATCTGCCAGGAAAGCAGGATACCCAGCTTCAATTCCTGGGTCAATTCCGGAGAAGGAAATGGCAACCCACTCCAGTATTCTTGCCTGGAGAATCCCAAGGACAGAGGAGCCTGGCAGGGTATACAGCCCATGGGGTTGCAAGAGTTGGACACGACTTAGTGACTAAACCACCACCACAATGCTGATAAATATAACTAGTTTCAAATTATCAATGGCTGCTTTTTTTGCTCTAAATCATAGAATTGGACCAGATTCCGCGCCAACTTCAGATCTAACGATGTTTAATGTTTAATGTCTAACGATACTCACTCCACTCCTTTCAAAAGCAGTGTTGTTTGCTGTTAGTAATGAGATTCTGTAAGAAGCTGGGCAGACTCCTGCATTCAGTAGCAGATTAGGTATATGGCCTGCCAAGATCTGACTTCTGAGATTCAAGGCTAAAACACCTTTTCTCAGGTACCTCTTGAGATGGATTTGTACAATAAGCCTCAATGTTTTAAAAGGCAAAGAGTTAGTTTGGCTATTTCAGATTTGACTTCATTTTTCTAAATATATTGACTTTCTCAAATTTATCCAGAAATTGGAAGTTTAAAAAACCATTACTCATAGATTAATCCTGAGGTCTGAAACACTTACGACCCATCTTCATGAGTGTTACAAGTGCACATCTCGCAGAGGAGATGATAAAGTCTGACTCCTTCTGTTCCCCCCGAAGATTAACTGTGACAGATGAACTAAGAATTTTAAGGAAAGGTACACTTCACATTATGGATTAAACTAACATGACAGAAGCCCACTCTGAGAGTGAAAAGAACAAATGCTGGATTATTTTACAGCCACTCTAATAAAGCCTATTCTAAACTGTAGAATACATCCAATATTCTTAACCATAAACATACACAACTAAGAGAGAGAAAAAAGAATTTGAACCCCATGAGCCAAAAATAACCTGCTTCCACCTTCCACTCACCTCAGATACTAGCATATCCCAGGATAGAGTACAGCACGGAGGAGGGAGAGGGAAAGACTCAAAGACTCGCCACGTGTCAAGCTCTTTTAGAGCTGGAGACCATCCCCTGTTGTAATCTGAAGCTGCTAAAGAGAAAATGTCGCTAAAATAATACCACAACGGCACTTTATATAACCTAATGACAAATGAATCATTTTCTGCTCCTTACCTAAGGTCTGTAAGGCTGACATTACTGGTATAAAGTATCCCAAAGTGATAAAATGAAACAAAGCATGGTAAAGACCGCTTTATTGGTGGCAGCTAGTACAAGTCAATAAATATTGATCCCCAAAGAACTCAGTTATGTATCAGATTACTGGTCCACAGAGAGATGAATGGAACTGAACCAACTGATGGCTGGGAGGATAAACTGAAATCAATCCTGCTTCTTGGGAAATGAAGCCACAGCCAGTTCATACATGGCATATGCTGTCCCTGAGAAATAAAAAGAAACAAAATAAGAACTTAAGAAATTCTGAGGTTTAAATGTATAAACTCAATATTCCAGCTAAAAAGTTGTAAGGTAAAGGCAAATTTGGTATTAAGACTACTTTTATGAGAACATACAAAAGTATTTTGATAGATGCTGACAAAATTTAAAATATATATATACATACACACAAAACACATTTAATATAATTTCAATATTAGTTAACTTGTACAGAAAGTATTAGACACAGCAAAATAATGTATTTGTTAACTTAATGGCATGTAAAAAGTTTTAAAATAAGATTAAGAACATATAACCTAAGATTGCCTGAGAAATGCTAAGAACTGATTCAAAAGCCAAAAGAGGTCAAATATCCAAAGCCTTCCCTGAAGTGTATCATCAAAATAAAACCAAGGAAGAGTGACCTATAATTTTGAAATAATCAAATCTATAAGGAAGAATTTCTAATTTAGGACTTTACCTTAATAAAGCCCAAATGTCCCCTCTGATTGTACATAAACGTCCCTTCATCACATTCAACTCAAGCCAAAGAAGGCACCTTGGCACAAGTAAGGCGACTTTGTGATTAGGGTTCAATTAGCTATTCCACAAAGAAGTGATATTATCTTGGGTAATTAACATAACCCATTCATGGACCACAGCCTGGTCTCAGCGAAGGGGCTTGCATAATTCAATGAATCTATGAGGCAAGCCACACAGGGCCACCCAAGATGGATGGGTCATAATGAAGAGTTCTAACAAAACGTAGTCCACTAGAGGAGGAAATGGCAAACTACTTCAGGATTCTTGCCTCCTCCATGAGGGGAGCCTGGTATGCTGCAGTCTATGCGGTTGCAAGGAGTCAGACATGACTTAGCAACTAAACAACAACAAAATTAACATAACTTCATCTTTAAAAGGAGGATACATTACAGACTTAATACAAGGGTTACAGAAATCCATATATGTGGCATTCTTATCAACAGAATGAGCACACAGTAATCACTAATATTATTTTCCCTTTTCCCCTAGGGAGGAATCATTCAAATTCCTAACTCTGCTCCTAGAATACCAATTTGTGATACTCCATTGCTAATACTGAATAATGGACCCACCCAGGTCACAAAAAAAAATCAAAGCACTTTACATGCAGTAAAAGAAAGTACTGTGTTGCACATGGTTTTATTTCCATCATAAATACGTATGTACATGGTTTACATGTAAAGTGTGTTTCTATTACACATCACAATCAAAATCCGCAAGAACCCCTATTATAGGAGAAGGGGTGCAGTGGCTATCTGACTCCTCCAAAGGCCTGCACAGCCACCAGAGGCATGTTCCAAAAGCCACCTCTATCACAAGATAATGATCAAACCTCATTGGCTTATTTTTTTAAAGACACTAAACTGTTCTTATACAATGTGTATCTATCATCATCTTGAGTCACTGTATGAGAAGCAATTAAGACCTCAGGTTTGGGGGACAGGCTGCCTGTGTTAAAACACTGGCACAGTGAGAGCAATGACGTTCGCTATCCCTACTATGACTCTGCGGCAGAGCAAGCATCCCACCAACTTACCACCAACTGTGAGAATCATGGTGGCTCTGTACAGGAGGGCATCAGCTATGCCACCCTTTAGATGCACTGGCATTCCATTATCCTCCTAGGATAAATAATAGTAATTAATACATGTGTCATTTGTTTCCAACTAAATGAGAAAGATTCATCCATTCATATGAAAGAAAGTGGCTTTTTAGACACCTGGAATTGAAATATTTTAAATATCAAAATTAAAAAGGACTGTAATTTTCATGATTCTTTCTCTACTGCAACTACTTTTAAAATAAAAACTCCTAAAAATCAACATTCTTTATCTTTTAAAGTTAATTTCAGATCTAAAAAAAGATGCTCTTTTCAAGGAAAATATAAACAGTAAAGCTGTGAAAATATATTGAGTTCATCAATCTTAAAAATGCAATAATCATTAGACTTTAGATTTGGTTATAGGGATCTTCCTTCCCTTAAAAAATGGGGGGAGTGTTTTGGTTTATAACCCTAAATTACATCTTTAGTCCCCCCATCCAGCACCAGGCACATAGCAGACATTCTATACATCTATTAAATATATTTTATTTTTTGTAGCATACAAGATAGAACTTTTTTAACCATTTCAAATTTTCTTTATGAAAAACCAGAGATCACAATAAAACAAAAAATCACTAATAACCTACTTATAAAAGGGAAACTGCTATGTCCCATTAAGTCTTTTCTCATGAGAAATCTATTAACATCAAAATACATATCCTCAATTTTTTAAAGCTTATATTGTCAAAGATTTTAAATTATGCACGTACTTCTTTAATACATGAAATGAGATTGTGCTATATAATGATCACACAAATTTTCACTCAATACTTATCTTAAAAACCAATGTTAGTCCATTTAAACCTACTTTGTTCCTTTTAATAGCTACATAGCATTCCACTGTGTAAAAAAATGTCATAATCAGCCAATCCTTTATTAATGTGTGTTTAGGTTGGGATTTTTTAATATTAAAATCCCATAATGAATAATAGCCTATTTCCTATTTTTATATATTTATGCTACTATTCTGTAGGAAAGATCCATTTTTTATGTGTGATTTTTAACTTTTTGGTCACACCTCACAGCATGTGGGATCTTAAGTTTCCCAACCAGGGTTCCAAGCGATGCCTTCTGCATTGGAAGCGCAGTTTTAACTCTGGACTGTCAGCAAATTCCCTATGTAGGAAAGATTTTTAAAATGGGAGTCCTGGATCATACTATATGTAATTTGTTTCTAATGATACTTTCAAACACCCTGTAAAATTTCTGTACCAATACTACAAGCTGGCATGTATCAATGAACTGTAGAGGAATATACGTATCTCCCATACCTGGCTATCATAACCTATTTTAAATCTTCTAAAATTTTGACAATCAATCAGGGGGAAAAAGTAGCAACTTGTCATTTTAAGTTGCATTTCTTACTAATTTATAGTTCTCTATACAAAAAGGATATTGACTTTTCATTAATTTTAAAACTTTCCTCTCAATTTGTCACTAAGCTCTTGTAACCACAAAACATCTGAAATTTTCATGTCACCAAACGGTGCAGTTTTTCTCCTTTACAGCTTCTAGCTTTGTAAAGACTTTCTTAGGATGGCTCCTAAGATTAAACCTGAACTGTGGTAATCATTCACGGATACATTAAATGTAACAACCTAAACACATACAATTTTTACTTGTCAAACATACCTCAGTAAAACTGGAAAAAATTCTCCTATATTATCTTTTAGTTTTTTTTTTTGAGGAAGAAGTATTTACATCTAAAATTAATCTTTTATAAAATACAGAAGGGATGTAACTTTACTTTCTTCATAAGAGCCAGCCAATTTTTCCAATATCAATTTACTGTATCCTTTCCCCACTAATATGAAATACACCTTTAACATGTATCAAGTTTCTAGGCATATATTTGTTCTGTTTCTGAGCTCTATTTGTTCACTACTATGCAACTACCAAAAAGAGTACCAACCCAAGGTGACGCCTCCAAAACGTGTCTTGACATTTACCCTTCGCCCCTCATTTCTTCTGCTGTCTCAAAGGCCTCCTGGTTATAGCAAATGCCCAGTTAGCTATCAATAGGCAGTTTCTTATTATTCGTTTGCTAATACAGCAGGATCGCTAACAAGCAGATTTACCTCCTATCTCCAACTTTCAGTAATCTAATTTTATAAGTAACACCTATAAAATACTTCAATACCTGAAACAGCTTTTGTTTCTCCGGAACCTTATTTTCAAACTGCCTGCGTGAAGTAGTACTTATGGTCCTCTTAGCAATCTGACGGAGAGCCTGAAATTTAAAAATCCACATGTTAGACCTAGGGCTTAAAGAAACCCTTAACCACTTCTCATCTTTAGTACTACGGAAAAGTGAAACTGACAGTTAAAACATATCTGATTTGTCAATAAAAAAGCTATAGACAAGCACTGAGGTTTTCCTCTTTGTTTCCTGTCCACTGAATTTTACATTGCATTCTGAATTACCAAATCCATTCAAGAAGTAATTCACGTAGATTTTGAGTGAAAAAAATCATGACCTTTACCTGAACTGAACCAGTAACAATATATGAGGAAAACATACTGATACATAGATATTATAAAAATAAACAATGGCTACAAAAAAACACCAGAATCAAAGTTTTTTATTTAATAATGTACCAGATTATTAAAAACCTATTAGTTGGTATCAAATAAACTGGCACGATTCCTATTTAATTAAAATGCTTCCCTCATTACATTTTTCCTCAAAAATCAATAAGGTACAAATCTTTTACAAGACAGACTTGCATTACATATTCAGTTGAATTAAAACAACAAATATGCACTCCATTTTCTAAATTAAATAATATACTGTGAAAATCAAGTCTTATTGGATAATTACCAAAGAAAACGATCACGGTTACATTTTCCTTTTCTTTCTCAGAATTTGGGGAAACTACTTCACATGCTCAAAGTCGGTGGAGGGGTGAAGGACACTGCAGAAAACCGCCTGGTGATAGCAACACGGCCCTTCGGCCGTGAATGCTCCTAAGTCCCACCCAAAATTGAACAGACTGTTTTCAAACGGCCTTCTGACACCCATAAAGCCAACAGCCACTGACACTCAAACCTTTCAGTATCACAGGATATAGCTTTCTGAGGCTTCCGGGTACCAGAAACTTCCCACCTGGACCCTCAAGACCAGGGGTGGCAACTAAGGGCCCCAGGCGTGGAACGCACAAACTCCCGTCTCCTCCCAGGCTCCTCCTCTCCCCACAGCTATCCAGCACAGCTTGGGGCGAGAGGGCTGCACCGAGGGGAGGGAAGGTCAAGCGAAAAGGACACCTACCAAGGTGACTTCCGAAGCCGCCCTCTCCCTTTCTGCCCAGCAGTTTTCCGTCGTGACTCTCCAACCTCCGCTCCCAACCCTCCCCGCCTACATCACCAAGGTTAGCCGAGAAGCTCCTCACCAGAAGATTCCGCAGCATCTTGGCTCAGTTACTGCCCACCAACCGCGGCAACTGACCACCAGCAACAAGAACTCCACACGCCGGAACCGGAACTACCTTCTGGCCTTGCGCAAGCGCCCGGAACCCAAATAGTTCCGGGCGGAGGCGGGGCCGGCGCTCGTAACCATAGAAAGCGAAAGAGAGGGCGGCGGCCGTCTCTGCGCCTCGGCCTCTTCCCTGAGCGGCGGGGTGGCCCGGGAGCTGAGGCTGGGGAGACACAGACGACTTTTGAGACCGGAGAAGCAAGCAGTGAGGAGTATGCGTCCTTTTTAACTAGCTTAGATAAAATTAATGTGAGGCCAGGCTATGAAAGAAAATTAGTGTGTGTATTTTGAACAAGAAGGCGTAGAACTCTGAGAAACCTGGTTTGGCTGGATAAAATACGAAACAAAAGGGTTAACTCCTCTTACACGGATACAGTCAGTTTTGTTTTGTTTTCCGCTGTCGTGAGAACGTTACTGTTCCTTGAGCAGAGAATGTGCTGCAGTTTTTATCTTCCTCTTCCTTTGGATGCTGCAGAACTCCCCATTCATGAAACTCTCCAAAAGGGTCGCGAAATTGTGGAAGCTGTTCGCTTGTTTCTCTGAGTCTGGGAGAACGCTGAAAAGAGGGGGAAATTTTAATTGGGGGGCCAGAAACGAGAGGGCAAATCTAGACTCTTGGGGCTTGCTGCCTCAGGCTGGCAGGGCACCTTCCGTGATTGGACTTGCTAGGCACAGCAATTATCGTACAGGTAGCTTCGTGCTTAAATAACCCCACATGACAAGTGCCCACCCCCACGCGGCTATAAATATAAAAACAGCTACCCCATACTACAATAAATATCTGTCCACCTTTTCACAAACATAATTATTCCATTGTCATTTCAGAAAGAAAGCTGATGATATATGGGTTCAGCTAGGTGAAATGTGTAGATAAAATAACTGAAATTCCTTCTAGTCTTTAGGGTTAGACCCAAGTTACTTGTTCCCAGTTATTTTCCTCACCAATCTTAATACCCAATTATGTATTAATTTGTATATTTATAAACCAATGATAACCAGCTCATCTCTTGCCTAGATTGGGACGGAAAGGACCTGGTTTATTCTCTACTCTGAATTATGCACTGTAATCAAATAATACTTGAGCATAATTACCAGGGGCCAACAGCTGAGGCACAGCAATCTTTTAATGGATTGTCTGTAATTTGTAACTGTTAAAGTTGTATATGCTTGCATGTTTTCTCCATTTGGCCAACTGGATAGTAATTAAGAACAGAGATGATGTGAATTTCTTACCAGGGACTGCTTAAAGGAGGTAGCCTACTAGCCAGCAGATGAATTAATGATATATCTAGATTTACAATTTTGTCCAAAAAGAACCAAAGAGGCACATAAAATAGATTCTAAAGTAGATATAGATCCTTATATTCATGTCATTACAATTTTCCCCTTACTAATGTATCATTCCATGAGCATATAAACACATTCCCAAATTAAACCAATCTCCTATTGAGTTCAGTTACCATAACATTTCTCTTCTCCACCATAAAACACAGATTTCCTTATACTTTCTTCCCTTCCACTCCTAATGTTTTAAACTGTATCAATTTTCCTCTTTTCCATCTATTGGCTACATTTAACACAGTAGATCATTCCCTCACAGCATCTCTTCAATTTTCAATTTGGAAGTAAATCATATAGCAATACAGTATTAACATGTATGGTTTGAAACGTGATCCCAATGAGACTTTCACACACTCCTCCTTCAGTGGTTCTATTTCAGAAGCTGCCACTATTAGTTTCCTTTCTTTGATCCTCATACTCTCAATTTCTGAATTTCAGATTACAACTTCTACATTCCTTCCCTCTTGTGATTTCATCCAATGCCATCAAACATCATTTGTGTGCAGACAGCTTTCCAATCTTTACCCTTGCACTCCAGACATCCCTACTTAGATGTCTAATGGGCATCTCAAACTTAAAACTGAATTCTTTCTACTCCTTATTTCTAAGCTTTCTCTATAATTTTACATCAAGCCCCAAACTTGGGCTTTTTTCTATCATATCCTGTAATCCATAAGAATATCCCATTGGCTGCACTTTCAAAATATACGAATCTGACCACTCCTTGTATCTCCACAGCTACTACCACTCCAGGCCAAGCCAGCATCTATTTTTAAATGGTTTCCCTGCTTCTGCTCTTCCACTCAATCTATCTTCCACACAGCAATGATCCTTTTAACTTAGATAATGACTCTGCTTAAAACTTTTTCTTCACTGTTGTATCCCCAGCACCTAGAACTGGCATGTTAGAAAACACTCAGTAAATACTGGTTAAGTGAATAGTACACTGTACAAAACAGCAAATTCATTTTACTAAGTATAAAAATTCACAAAATCTTTCTTAATACTTGTACTCCTTTCAATCATTTTTCAGTCCCAGGGTCCCTCACTCATCATCCCCTTGGCTCTGTAAACTGACTTTCCTGACAGAAAAACACAGCTGAAATTTGCCTGGGTGCCTATCAAACTTTAGTTTTCCAAGGCACACTTGAAATTTGTTACCTGATTTGTAAGTTCATTCTCTGAAGTGGAATATTTAGTTTCAAAATAGGTTCTTTTCCAAAACATCAGTTTGGGGTTATTTTGTAGTATCAGAAAATTATTAGAAATGGCTCTTTCATTGAAAATCTTTCCTTCTGAAAACTCTAGAACTTCATAAGAGAACTGGCAGTATCCTATTTAGATATGTGGAAAATCTGAGGTGGGTAATGGTTAATTTAACTTTTGCTGTAAGATACCTTTCTGTAGATGTCAAAGTACTAAGTGAAAAAATTTCACAGTTACTGAGGCAAAGTTACCAAATCACAGTTAACTCAATCTTCCTTTTTCTTTAAAAAAAAAAAAAGACAACAGTTACTTTCATCCTGCCTACAGCTCCTCTACATAAAAAGCAGAGGAAAGTCAGAATAGAGTTTTGTGTGATTGGGATGTATTTTAACTCGGGAATCACCCTTAAGCCACTTAAAAGCTTTACAAAAATAATGTAGCAGAATGGCTTCATTTGAAGTTTAATGTATTAGAAACTACTAGCTTGATAAAAGATAGATATAATTTCATATTTTGATGATTACATAGGAATCAGGAAACATGTGGCTGTCTCAGCTACTGTTATTATTATTAAATAATTTCTCTAACTGCAAGCTGCAGTCTTTTCATCATCAAAGTTAGGGATTGGGCTAATGACCTTTATCCTTGGATCTAAAATCTTATGTATGAAAAATACTTTCATAAAACCACAACTAAGTTCACTCCTGTTGAACAATTTGTTTGCTACCCCCAATAAATTATTATTATTTGAAGGTTAACACTTTGTGATGTGCTCGTGGGATAACTTTAAACCCCCGACCTTTAATAACTACAAAGATAATACACACATAAGAGTAAATTATGATGCAGACAGAATGACTTTCTGGTAACTGATATAGGGTTGCAATGGGAAACTCAAGGAAAGTTGTGTTCATTAGGAACGTTTTTAAAAGGCTGAATTTGAGCAAGGTCTGGTAGAATTAAAACAAATGGGGTAAAGATTAAAAGTCATTCCACACTTAGGGCAAGAACATGATTAATAACAGGTATAATAATCATCAAGCATAATCTACTACAGGAACTGTAAAACAGAGGCCTGGATGGGAGCAAAAAAAAAAAAAATTACAAGTTAAGAACCTGGAAGTTAGGACCTGGATCTGTCCTTTAACAGTAATCGCTCCCTTTAGTTGCCAAGTCATGTCTGACTCTTGCAACCGCATGGACTGTAGCCCGCCAGGCTCCTCTGTCCATGGGATCCTCCAGGCAAGAATACTGGAGTGGGTTGCCATTTCCTTCTTCAGAGGAGCTTCCCAACCCAGGAATCGAACCTGGATCTCCTGCATTGCAGGCAGATTCTTCACCGACTGAGCTGAGGGAAGCCCTAAATAGTAATATGAAGGAAGGCAAATTTCACTATTTATACCTGTTTATCTGTAAAATGGAGATACTAGTACTAATCATCAAGTGGCTGTGAAGATTAAATGATACAATTCAGTAAATGTGAGCTATTATCACGAGAGGAAATGCTGGAAAGGAGATATGGGTCAACAGAGAAAGTATCCAGGTAGAAGGCGCAGCAGATGCAAGGCAGAGGAAAGCTGGTGAACAGATCTCTTGGGAATGGCATGCAAGTAGTTTAGTTTGGTAGGACAAATGGAAATGTGAGGCAACAGTGGAAGACAGGAGATTTTTAATGATGTGTTTCAGATTTTATTCTGAAGGTGTTTGGGCCATTTAAAGGTTTAAATGGCAAATGCTTCAGAATCAGGACTCTATTTCAAGATCATTCTGGTAGTAGTGAGAAGGCTGGATTGGATATGAATTACTAGGACAAAGAGTCTATTAGCAGGCACTTGAAGGGAATTGCTACCCACTCCAGTGTTCTTGCCTGGAGAATCCCCATGGACAGAGGAGCCTGGCAGGCTACAGTCCAAGAGGTCACAGAGTCAGACACGACTAAGCGACTAACACATTACAGTAATCCAAGAAATCCAAACAAAACCTGATGTCAGCAGCAAGAGAGATGTAGCTAAAGGAATGTAGGTTAGAAGATGGGTTAGAGAGTCAACAATGGGAAGCACCTTCAAAAATCAACAGAATGTAGTGATTTATCGGATTGGGAAGTTGGGAACGTGAGCAGATTTCTGGCTTAACCCATAAGATGGTTGCTCATACCATTCACCACATCGAGTAATGTAAGAGAAAGACCAGGCTAGGATGGGATGGGCTCAGCTGATTTGAAAAAAAGTTGTTCACTGAGTGCCATTTTTCTCTACTTTGTGCTAAATGCTTATCATCTATCACTTGCCTTATTCTTCAAATCAAAATCTGTCAAGTGGGTATTAAAACCCCCATTTTACTGGCAAGGAAATGATAAGTAAATGATTTAGAAGATTAAATTATCTGAAG